AGTGAGCAAATATGAAAATAGCATGAAATGAAGATGCTAAGATAAATGGTGGTTAAAGTAAAATCATAAAGTAAGGGCATAAAAATAAAAGTCAATTGTTAATGAATTAGAAATTAGAGGTTAATTGAATGATTATCTTGAAACTTGCATTTGAAAACTCATTAGAAGATTGATAAAATCAAAGTCTCTTAACAACAAGTTTCATTTTATTTTTGTCAAGTATATCATTCATTTCAAATTCATAAAGCAAAAATAAATGATCAACGATGTTTAAATGATTCACTTAGTCCAAAATTTATGATGATTCATTAGAGGATTGATAAGACCAAAGCCTCCTAACAATGAACCTCAAGGTTATTAGATCAAAGGTTTCAAATTAAACATACTTGGGCTTGCAAACATATGTTTGTGCCACGAATGATCATTTCTCAAATTGGGACAAAATTTAGCGCTATGTTAAGCAATCGTAAGTGGACTTATATAGAAGTCGCACCTATTTTGAGGTCATTCAATAGCAATCTATGTGCCATATGTTTGGAGTGATGATATATAGATCATCCTCTAACAACATGTAACACAAAAGAGAAGGGGATAAGATGAAGAGGGAGGGGACATATTTGAATAAAAAATTTAATCAAAACTATCATTAAAATCATCCATCCATTTTAGTGGAGTTAAACTCAACACTCAAGATCCAATGATATTAATGAAGTTTATGATCAACAATCACATAGCCAGAATATCTAAAATAAATAAATTGAATTTAATGAATAAAATAAAAGAAGAAAAATGACTTTTAAATTGTTTTTAAAATGAGAATAAAAGGCAAATGACAAACTATATTCAAAGTATCAAAGAAAATTTAAAAAGACAATAGAAAAATCAGAAATGACCTCAAATATTTTTATAAAAATTTTCGTAATTTTTTAACATAGAAAAGCATTTTTACATTAATTAAAATCAATCAAATAAGTGAAAAAAAGACAAAAAATAGTAGAAGTAAAAAAAAAATCTACAAAAATTTCCGAGAGTCAGAAATAAGAAAAATGATTTTTACAAAAAAATTTAGAATTTAAAAATATCAAAATGTATTTTTAAATAATTGGAAACAACTCAAAGTAAAGGAAAAAAATATAAAAAATATCAAACCTGAAAATACAATCATGAAAAATTAAAAATCAGAAAGAGAATATTAAAAAATATTTTTGTGAATTATTTCATGCTTTTTGAGTCAGGAATCAATTTTCTATGATTTTTTAAAGTTTAAAACAATTAAAACAAAAAAAAACAGAAAATAAAATAACAAACCAAAAAAATGTGGACCATCTGATCATTGTGAAAACACGTTAGTAAACAGATCCAGTGGATCTGGCGTGCTGTGCATGTCATGGACTTTATTGAATATCACACCTAATCAATTTTTATAAAATAAAAATAACTTAAAATGTGACATGTTGGATGAAGATTGACTCACTAAAGTAATCAGATCCTAGGGCTCACAACACACGTGCAATCTAAAGTGAAACACCAAATATTTTTCAAAAAAATAACGTGGCTAAACGTCATTGGTTGAAGACGGACATGTCATCGTCTTCAACCTCCAGCCAACCTCAAATCGAATTCCACAAACTGTAAAATTAGTAATACAGACCGGTACCATTAACTTCGTCTCTTAAAGAATAATAACAAGCATGAAATTCATAAATAAATAATAGCGAGCACGAAATTCCGGAATATCTCACTCAAATCTCAATGGAATTGCAAATTATAAAAAACATGAGAATCAGAAGGATGCAGAGAGTAAATTAGTCTTTTATTTGGATTAATTTGACCAAGAAATCTACCTGAACGAAGTAGAAAAATGTGGCTCTAAAACTGGACTTTTGTAGATCAATATAGGTTACAATTCTTGAAGGTGAGAGTATGGTTAGCTTCAGAGAAGTTCAATGAAGCTAACTGAATGGAGCTTTTTGTGTTTTGGAGTGAGAAAGCAAAAAATCATAAATTCAAATTCAGAGTTCGTGTGAGATCTGAACAGGGGTTAATTGGCTATCAAAGTCTTGAGAGAATGAGTGAAATATAACCCTCTATTTATAGGTAAGCAAATGAGATGCTCAAGCGTGCGGAATGATAAAGTTTGGAGGGAATTCATGTGAAGTTGCAAGCATGGAAAGTGTGACTCGAATTTTGTTCAAAACTCAGCCAAAACTTGCGTTACAAGGTTCTAATCACTTCTGAAGATTTTTAAACATGATTACAAGTAAAAATGCGCAACAATTTAGTGATTAGAAGCTGAATTGTGCATTTCAAATTCTGACTTGGAGGAAAAATCAGTTTCAAGTGGTTGTCTTTGAACTCATGGGGTGCACGATTTAGGGAACCTTAGGACCTTATTCTTGATGCATTAGAAAAATGAGGTAACATAATTTACAATGTGAAAAGAGTGATATCAATTGGATGCTTGAGCTAAAAGTTGTGATGAGTCAAAGTTGAGAAAAAGATGCTGACTTTTCGTACTTACAAAAATTCTAAGTTTTTCTTCAAAAGTGACCTATAATGTTGTGTTCAACTAAGGCTTTCCTCAAAAATTGAGATTTCATCAATGATGCTAGCTTGAAGTAGACTTCCTAAAGAGAATTTTGAAACTTGAATCACTCAAAAGTACCAAGTATTGAAAAGGTTATGGCCTTGTGAAATTAGTGAAAATCCATGAGGTGACCTATAATCTTTTGAGTTCTTAGGGCATCCTCCACCCATTTTCAAGTCTTGCACATAAAAGAAGAGTTGAAGTCCATATTCTTAAGATCATTATGGAAAAAGAATGGGCTCAAGGAGGTAAATTAACCAAGTTATGATCTTTTGAAGTCACATAAGGGAATTTGATGGCATATATATAGGATATGTAATCTTTCTTCATCATTAGGCATCTTCCACATAAAATTTTCTTGAAACTTTTGAAGTGATTTGTTAATAACCCTTTAAAGAGAAGAATGTCTTTAGAATCACTCAAAAATACCAAAATATGAACAAGATATAACCTTTAGAAGTTCAAAACCCTAGCTCATATAACAACTAAATTCCTTGGAAACCCCTTTCAATTTTGACAAACTTTCTTGCACAAATACTTTTGTCATGTGAATAGAAGTTGTTGAAGATGATAATGAGAAACCATAGCAACCATAACCACTTCCAAATGTTAAGACTTGAGGGAATTATGCATTTGTGATCAATGAATCAAGACTTATTCAATTAGGTCAAACCTCTTCAATCAACTTTTGTATCCTTTGATTTTATTTGACAAATTGAGGTATGATGAATCATAGTAGACCTTATCATGATGTTTCTTTGAATTGCTCTCAATGATGAAGCTTGAATATCAATGAAGCTTTGTTGAAGCTGGCATGGAAATAAACTCATGCACCTATAAATCACATGATGAGATGTGTTGTGCCTTCACCTATAGAATCATCAATTAGAGCAAACTTTCATTGTATTTTTTAGTTAAAATTTAAAACAAAACATATATGATCACATTATACCAATCAAGGTGCTTGGTGATTCCTCATAAGAAAACCTAGAGATAGGGAGAAGAACCAAACCCTAGTGTGATCTTGTTGTGATTGGGTTGATATGAGATGATAGAAGAATCTTAGGGGGGAAAATTGGGGGTACATTACAGAGGTGTATAAATACATGAATGCTAATCTAATGTATTTTAAGTTTCCAACAATTGTAAAATTAAGGGAAGCATAAGTCTTTGAGTTTGAGAGTCTCTCGTGTATATTGTAAGTCACCCATGTAACTTATGATACTATGTGGTAGGGAGATTATTACTTAACAGTTTCTTAAGTTATTGTTCTCACTCGAAGCTTTTAAGCAAGAGTTTGAGTTATTGTAATGGAAGTATGGTCTTCTAAATTGGGTTGTTTTTGTTGCAGTTACTGGGATTATGACTATTAGATATCACTAAGGTGATTTAGGAAGTGAGATGACAATTTCTCATAGTTATGGAGGATCTAGGTGGAAGTTGCATTGAGTAGGGCTGGGGCGAGAAGTTGTAAATGAGAGAGTTTGGATTTGAACTAATACTTCTGATAGTGGACTTCCTTTCTGGCTTGGTAGCCCCCAGAGTAGGTGATGTTGCACCTAACTGGGTTAATAACTCATTGTGCTATTTATCATTACGCAGTTTTATTTTTCGTATCATATTCAATTTGATTGATCTGGTTTGTTACCAAATATTGTAACATTTGTCTCAACATCACCTGTTGTTAAGACAATTTTGTTTGTATGTATTGCATGTACCAGAATTTCAAATTCAATTTAAAGAGATTAAAATTTAATTAATACTCCTAGGGAGCATGTGAATCACACAAGCATAATAAGCAAATGATCAAGCAACCAATCAAGGTAAAGCAATCATCAAGAGATCATCACTAAAAAATTCATCAAGAAATTCAAGGAGAATGGTCAAGGACAAAGCATATTTTTGAATTAAAACATCATCAAAATATAGGGAAACTAATAACATAATACTCAAAGTAAAATGCTAAAATAAATTCCCTAAACATATCATGACATTTCTATTTTTATTATTTTTGGAAAGATTAAAATCAGAAAAGAAAATAAAAGCAAAATTCAAATAAAAGAAAATCATAATTAAAATCAAAACAAAGGAGCAGGGAGGTGCAGGCTTGGGCCAGGGGTGTGCTGAAGCAATGTGGCGCAAAGGCCCAACCAGAAAGGTCCATGGTCAGTTTTTTTGTATCAAGGCAAAGTTGTACCACAAATGATAACAGGTCAGTCAAGGGATGTGCAGGTAGCAAAAGCCCAAGCGCTATGGATTCAGCCCACCACTTCTCAATTCACATTATTAAGTTTTTTATTCAATTTATGGATTATTATAAAATTAAAACAAAACTAAAACAATTAAAAGAAAAAAAGATGAAAATGGTGTCGCTTAGGTGTGGTTAGGGTTATTTGTGATTGTCTATCTTCTTTCAAACGCGAACTCTCTCCCCTGTCTTCTCATATCTTCTTCGTTCAAACAATTGAAAATTCACCACCACTGCACTGGCGGCGCCTGCGGTGGTGCAGTTTAGAAATGTCTGTAAATCACATAGTCTTGTTCGTCTTCCTACGATAAGTCCATATCTCTGGTCCTTTTCTTTCGATTGTTCATGTGTCAACCTAAATCTAGCATAAAAACTCGAAACCCTAGGTGTCATCAAGTTAAATTAAATGATTGTGGTGAAGCTTAAGATGGTGCTAGGTTAGGAGTTTTATTCCTCTCATCTCACTCTACAGATTGATAACAAGAAGCTGATGAGAGAGTTGAAGAAATCATACCTATGAAGAAGCTTGATTTAGGTGACATCGTACTCTTCTTTTGCCTTCGTTTGCTTCTGTTCTTCACTCTTTATTATCAGCAACGATCTTCTACACCTTCTTCTTTCTGTATGCGTCTGTATGTGCTGGTTGTTGTTGTTATTTGAGGTGCTAAGCTTTTGGTGTGAGTGTTGTTATAGAGTGTGTAGAGAGATCATAGAATGATGAATATGATGATGTTGTTGAAGCAGTTGCAGAGAGGTTTGAAGAGGAGTGATAATAGTGATGGAGGATTCAGTGAGAGAGAGAGGTTGTTGAAGGTGAAGGATTCAGAGAGAGAGAATGAAATTGAGAGAATGATGACAATGATAAATTCTACTGGAGATGAATGAAATGGTGCGTGTGTGAGAAATTAGAGGGAGACTGATTTATATAGGTTGCGTTGAAGAGGAAAACGGTTAGAGCGGAATGATTGTGAGCCCTTGGATTGTATGGATTCAGTTAAAGAATGGAGGGTGAAGATGGAGTTATGAGAAAGTTTGTTATGGTTTGAAATTTTGTTGTTGCTGAGCTGTCATTGTGAATTCGTCTTTTTAGTTCCAAATTATTTGCATTTTTGTTTTGTTTTAGCATTGATGTTGGTTTCTTATATATATACACAGGGGTAATGGATTAAAGTTTCTGTTTCTGCTTGTTTTAATCTTTTATTTTGGTGCATTTTGGATAAAGTCTTGGAGTTATTTGGCTTAGGCTTGGTTGATCTTCTTTTGTGATGAACTGATCTGATTCAGTTTAAATGGTTTAGCAGCTCGTATTGGATAACTGTTCGGATGTGGATATGGCTTTAATCTATTTTGGGGATTGTGCAGGGCTGCCTTCATGATTTGCTTGTTCAGATTTTGTAATGTACACGTGCATCTGTTTTAATATGCAGGTTGTTGGTGTAGCTTGATTTTTCCTTTTTTAACTTTGATATTTTATTCTCATTCATAACTTTTATGCGTCGAACATTGAGAGATTTTTCTTTGTTGTGAGAGAAAATGTAAGGCTATCATGGCTGGAAGTGAGAGGAGATTTTTCTTTGTTGTGAGAGAAAATGTAAGGCTATCATGGCTGGAAGTGAGAGGAGATTTTTCTTTGTTGTGAGAGAAAATGTAAGGCTATCATGGCTGGAAGTGAGAGGGGTTCTCATATCTAGGAGGTGTCTAGGTAGAAGTTGTATTGAGTATTCCTGGCTTGGTAGGCTCCTAGAGTAGGTGAATTGCACCGAACAGAGTTAACAATTTTGTGTGTTCTTTACGTTTTTGTATTTTATGTTCCTACACAATCTTTCTGTTTTTTAGTAAGTCTGTTTGCTGTCAGCAGATGTCATAACTAAAGGGTAAGAACAACACAAGTCAGCAGCTGTCATAACTAAAGGGTAAGAAAAACACAAGATAGGGGGGTTGAATTGGGTACTCCGCATGAACCTCTTTGAAAATTTGTGTATTTTGACTATATTTGTTGTATACAAATAGATTGTAGGGATAAGAAAAAAAGTATTTTTTCATATAATTTTTGCACCATCCGCGATTGCGAATCTTTAGTGCCTACTTATCACCTTCTGTGCAATAGGGGATCAGCGTACTCGTATTTCACCTTTTAAAAATTTTAAAACACAAGTGTGTTGGTTAATTTTAAGAGACGAGACGTCATTGTCGTATTCGAGTGGAAGAATATACTATTCACGATTATGAGAAAGGAGAATTTGTGTCATTTCAAAGTGGAGGATATGGATTGGATTTTAAAATCAACAAAATCTCGCTCAACACCCAAGTGGAGAATATCTCACTTCACTACATATCATAGAAGTATAATAATTTGCATCACTACAAGGATTTGACAAGAGTCTAATCTTTTGAGAAATTTTTAAGGTAAAAAGTCAAAATGACAAAAATGGTTTCAATGAGATTGATTGACTTTTAGTCTTCTCACAAAAAATGTAAAAGTATTATTAATTTGATTAAAGTTTAATTAAGAAAATAATTTTGAAAATGCATGGACCTAAGTCCAAGTTTATTATGAAAGCGATTTCAGTTTAGAAAACAAGAATAGTTTTGAAAATGAGGGAGAAGATTTTTGAAATTAAAGAAAATGGGAGGTAAAAGCTAGGGAAAAGAACCATCTAACCAACAAGAAGCCGACACTTGACACAATGAGTCAATGTAGAATTCTCATCATTTGATTTGAAATCAAATAAGCAAAGAAGATAAAACCTCTTAAGAAAACCAAGCTTCAAAGGCATTAAGTCTTCACAAAAATTGGGCGGAGTAATGGTTGTATACAGATGAATTCTCAGTCACAGACAAATCACATAATCAGAATAACCTGCACACAAAGAAAACAAACAACCCAATGTCTTGGGGTAAACCCCAAGAACTCCAAACAAAATTGCAATAGAAGTCACAGGGTCTCAAGGTAGGTCAAGGCCTCTAATCCTAAGTCTAAAAAGTCCATAACTCCAAAATGCCAAGGATAGTAATCAAATAGTCCAAGTAACATTAAAGCTTTTTATGGTTCAAGCTGATTATTAGGTATCTTCAAAAAGAAATGAAAAGCTCAAATGAGCAAAATAAAAATGACATAAAGATAAATGTTCAAATGAGCAAAGATGAAAATAACATGAAATGAAAATGTTAAAATAAACGTGCTTAAAGTAAAAAATATAAAGTAAAAGCATAAAATAAAGTCAATTGTTAATAATTAGAGGTCAGTTGAATGACCATCTTGAAACTTGCATTTGAAAACTCATTAGAAGATTGATAAAATCAAAGCCTCTCAACAATAAGTTTTATTTTCTTTTTGTCAAGTATATCATTCATTTCAAAAATCTCAAGGCAACAATAAATGATCAACGATGTTTAAATGATTCACTTAGTTCCAAAATTTATGAAGATTCATTAGAGGATTGATAAGACCAAAGTCTCTTAACAATGAATCTCAAGGTTATTGGATCAAAGGTTTCAAATTAAACATGCTTGGGCTTGCAAACATAAGTTTGAGCTACGAATGATGATTTCTCGAATCAGGACAAAATTTAGCCATATGTTAAGCAATCGTAAGTGGACTTATATAGAAGTCGCACCTATTTTGAGGCCGGTCAATAGCAATCTATGTGCCATATGTTTGGAGTGATGATATATAGATCATCCTCTAACAACATGTAGCACAAAGAGAAGAGGATGAGATGAAGAGAGATGAGATACATTCTAATTAAAGATTTTAATCAAACTATCATTAAAATCATTCATCCATTTTGATGGAGTTAAACTCAACACCCAAGATCCAATTATGTTAATGAAGTTCATGATCAAAAAACACATGGCCAGAATATATAAAAAAATAAATAGCATTTAATGAATAAAAGAAAAAGAAAAATGACTTTTAAATTGTTTTTAAAATGAAAATAAAAGATAAAATAGAAAACCATATTCAAAGTATCAAAGAAAATTTTAAAAAGACCATAGAAAAATCAGAAATGGCCTCAAATATTTTTCTAATTTTTTTGGTAATTTTTTAAAACAGAAAAATATTTTTAAACTAATTAAAATCACTCAAATAAGTGAAAAAATGATCAAAAATAGTAGAAGTCAAAATAAAATTCTAGAAAAAATTTCAGAAAGTCAGAAATAAAGAAATGATTTTGATGAGTTTTTTAAGAATTTTAAAATGCCAAGAAGTATTTTTAAAACAATTAAAATAGGGCAAACAATACAAAAAACTATGAAAAATATCAAACATTAAAATAAAAATATGAAAAAACATGAAAAAAGTCAGAAATAATTCATAGTATTTTTAAGAATTTTTTTAGATTTTTTTAGTCAGAAATTAATTTTTTATGAATTTTTGAAGTTTAAATCAATTAAAATATAAAAATCAGAAAATAAAAATAAACCAAAAAAATATAGACCATTGGATCAATGTCAAAATACGTTAGTAATCAGATCCAAGAGATCTGACATGTTGTGTATATCATGGTCATTAGTGAATAAACCACTGGATTAAATATTTAAAACTGATTTGAAAAATGCGTGGCAAATCCTCATTGGTTGAAGACGCCAGCATGGTCGTCTTCAACCTCCAACCAACCTCAAAACCAGGTTCTTCAAACTGTAAAATTAGAGGTTCAAACTAAAGCCATTCTCTTCGTCTCATCAAGACGAAGAGAACTGTACCCTCGCGAAAAATTTATATAAGTTGTAGCTCAATCGATTTGAAGAAAACCAGAAGAAAAAAGTTGAATAGGGATTTGAAAATTCATGATCAAAACTCACTTCCAGTTGAAAACAAATGATGTGACTATTATCAGAATGATGAGAGCTTCAATTGTGGTAACAAATTTTGAGAGAATTGATGAAAGAATCTACCTATTGAAGTTCAAATTCAGAGATCTGAAACTTGACTTGGCTAGCACGATTTAGGATGCTTTAGGGCTTGGTTCTTCTTCTATTAGCTTCAGTGAAGTTTAAGGATGAAGAATTGACAAAGAAAATGGATTGAGGAAGGTTGTATAACCAAATTCGAAGTTACAGACATATGGGTTAAGGAAAGAGTTAGATAGAGTGATTCTGGTTGTCTAAGCTTGAGGAAATGAATGCAATATGTCCCTCTATTTATAGAAGAGTGAATGGTGAAAATAATTGGGAGAAATAGTGAGGTTTGGATGGAAAATGAGTGAAGCCCGAAAATGAAAAACATGTGACTTAAACTTGCTTAAAACTAAGCTAATTCTTGCATTTTGATCCTTAATTTAACTTTGGGAACTTTATTAAACATGTTTAAATAAAAAAGTGTGCTAATTTGGTGTTTAGAAGCTGGATTATGGATTTCAAATTCTGAATTTGGAGAAAATTTCATTTTC